GATTTACGGTGCCCAGCCGATGGGGGGAGAGGGACGGGTGAGGGAGGCAGGAGAGGCGAGGAGGCGTAGGGAGGAGGGCGGGTTTTTCTTGCGCCCTCCTCCCTACGCCTCGCGACGAGGGGAACCCCTCGCGACGGGAACGGCGAACCCCTCCCCTCGTCGCGAGGGGGAGCGTCGATCCCTGACCGCCCATGCGTCGCCGTTCGGGACACGGGCGCCCCAAGCTGCTCGGGGACTTCATCATCGGGGGCACATCGCCAATCTGTCGGCGATGGATCGTCGTTTCCAGGCTGATGCTTGCCACGCTGAGCCAGCCTCCCTCAAGCAATGCGGCGAAGTTGAGCAGCTCTCGACCGCCTTCTCTGGGCGGCTGATCGGTCCTAGATCGTTCTGTGGATGGCCCGGAGCCTCCAGACGCTGAGAACTGCGATGACATCTTGCATCTCTTGTTGCTGCCAAAACCTTATAGGTTTGAGCAGGGTGGGCAACCAGGGGCAACGTTAGGCTTGTGGAGGACGATCAATGGAGAGGAAGCATGTTGCCAAATAATTTCCAGATGTCTAAAACATGGCTTAGACATGTTTTAAACATGCTTTAAACATGTTCAAGGCATGCTTAGAACATGTCTTCTAACATTTAAACACATTTAAAAAGCAACGACAGGACTGTTAGGGTGTCCATTGTCGTGGCATCCACAACGTCAGGCGTGGATGGGCTCAGGGTGGGGTGCCTCGACCCCCCTCCGAGGAACCGCTGGCAGCTCCGGGCTGGACAGGAGGAGGCACGGGGTCGGCGCCTCTCTCGAAGGGCCGCCGTCGGGGGGGTCGGCGGGAGGCCTCCTTCCACACTGGGTCTGGCGGCCAGGATGTCACCTCTGCGCAGGGGTGTCCTCGGCCAGCCGCCCACGTGGGGTCGAGTTAGATCAGAGGAGGAAAAGGTACCGATACAGTCGGGGCGCTGAAAAAGGAACCCTTCTTGTTGGGGAGGGGCTCCGTGTTCCTGAGTTGTTTCACACTTTCCCCTGGGTTTTCCTTCGGTTTTCCATGGGACATCGAAGTCCAGTGTGTGGAGAAAAGGGGCCTCGTTCCGTATTTAGGGTTCCTTAGGTCAACGCCCCGACTGTACCTCCACCCGTGCCCTTTTGCTTCACGCCTCCCGCGCGGGCGATGATCCTCCGCCCACAGCAGGCGCTGCTCCTCGGGAGTGAGCGCCGGCAGGCAGGCGTGCACCGTGGCCGCGGCCCGGCGCCGCGTCATCGCCTTCTTGGACCTCCTGGGATCGGGAGCGGAGAAGAGGGGAGTGATGACTAGGGGGGGGGTCATCGCCTGTTTGGACCTCGTGGCGCCTCTTTTTACTTCATTACGTCCCAGGCCCCCCCGCTGGGCCGCGCACATGCCGCCGGTCATGATTTGCACCCCCCCCCCCCTCTTGGACACCCCCCTCTTGGCCGCTCCCGATGGGAGGTCCTCGTCGCCACGGTTGGATTCGCCTCGAAATCCTGGTCAGGAGGCACCCTGGGAGAGATCCAGGGAGTAGCGGTATCAGTGTTTCTTTGTTTTCCCCAAAGTGGGTCGAAGTAGATGGGATAGGAGGATCGCGCCGCATCGCCGACGCATCGGCGGCACGGCGCGATGTGGTGTCCGAGCTTCTCCGTGTCGACGTCGCCGATGCGTCGCCGATGCCTCGCCAATGCATCGCCGATGCATTCGGCGATCCATTCGGCGATGCAGCGCGATCCTCCGACCCGGTCTGGGAGGCCTCCAGCCCCGGGGTGTGGAAGACGTCGTTTGGGTGTTTTTCGGACGCGGGCGGGTCTGGGCAGCTCGAGATTCCTCTCGCTTCGCGGGGTGCACGTCCGGAGCACGTGCAGTCAAGTCGTCGCGGGGTCTCCTGGGAGCCTCCTGGGGGCCTCCTGGAGGCCTCTCGGGAGCTTCTTTGGGCCTCTTAGGGACTCTTTGGGGGCCTCTCCCCCCCTCCTTTTCTTACTCCCTCCCCATCTTCCCTTCCAGCAGCTCGGGATGCTGCAGGCTTGCGCCACATCCGCCGACCCCTTCGTTTTGCGTCGGATTTCGCGTCTGAGCAGACCGTGCCTGGTGCGCGGTTCGGGCCATCGTGCGCGGTCCGCCAGTCTGTCATATGTTGGTTTTCTATACGTTGTGAGTGGAGGCCTTTGGGGTCGGTCTAGAGGCTTCGGAGGGCGTCTGGAGGTCATCGTAGGCGTCATCGAACGATACTTGGGCGATGCGTCGCCCTCCCTCTTGGACCGTCTGAACCGTCTGAGGCGCGTTTTGGTACCCTCTTGGGTACCTTTTGGGAGCCTCTTTGGCCCTTTCGGGGGTCCTTTCGAGCTTCCTCAGGCCGCTTCGGGCGGAAAATTTGAAATTTCGGTTCGGGGTTCCCCTCTTAAGCCGTTCTTGGGAGCGTAGTGGGGCGCTGTAGAGCCTTCGTGGGCGCCTCTGGAGCCGTCTTGGAGTGTTCTGTGGCCGTCTTTGGAGAATCCTGGGATGGTTGAGGGCCGTCTTGGGGCGCTTTTAGATGCCTTGTGAATGTTCTTCGGCGTCGCGAAGGTCGAAAAGGTGTATGTGCTGAAAAAGCAGGTTTTCCCTAGAGAATTTGGCGATTTGGGTTTCTTGTTTGCTTCCCGGGGGGCCTCAGGGACGCTTCTTGGGGAGTCTTCGCGGCTTCTTGGGCGTCTTGGCAGGATCATTCACCATTTACAGGCTCTCTTGGCCCGTCTTGGGGTTGGCTTGGGAGGTTGACGGGCTGTCTTGGAGCTCCAGACGGAGCCTGCGGAGCCCGGACCGCCCCCGTTGAGTTCGGGTGTGGGTCGTCCGTGGCCCGCGGGGTGGGGGGTCGAATTGCCGGTTTGGAGTCCCTGGGGGGTTATGGGGGGGGAACTATCTCACACGCCTAGAGACCCACAAGAGGTCGGCGGATTCTTCTTCTTCTCCTCCTCCTCCTCCTCCTCCTCCTCTTCCTCCTCGTCCTCCTCCTCCTCATTCGGAGCGCACGGGTCTGTGCCACCTGGTGGCCAGAGCTGGGAGCTGCCCCGAATCGAGCAGCGAGGCCTGCACCGCTCCCGTTGGGCCTCGTTGGCGCGCCGTCGAACGACAAGAATGGGGGAGATTGGCGGATCCTGGTCCGCACGTGCTGGCACGCCTGCACAGTCCTACGATGGAGCTGGTACTCTTTGTGTCCACAATCAGTGCCCCCCTGGCAGGAAGCAAGCGTGGTGGGCATGCAACGCAATGGACCCTGTCCCCGATGCCGTGGAGCAGCCTGATGACGGAGACTTGGACGACCGTTGTGGTAAGGTTCATGTATTGTTGTCCATAGAAGGATTGGGGAAGTGCCTCTTACAAGTGTACATATATATATGTATATCATTGATCATGCTAGGTGGTTTAGCGTGCCTGCGGAGCTTCACGATCCTACAAGTCCTACGCTCTCATTTGGTTTGTAACCTTGCGAGCGCCACCCGCAACTTCATCCCACTTCGCGAGCCGCACGACAGCATCGCCAAGCGCGATCGACGACGCTACAAGCTGATGTTGCGTCGCTGACTTCGGTGCGGGATGTCACGCCCGCGGGGCCATGAACGTTTGCACCTCCAGCGGGTTAATGACTCGAAGGGTGCCATGGGCTGCGGAAAACTCTGAGAGTTCCCGTATGATGGCATCTTCAACGTCCAGCAGACAGATTTGGCCCGTTACACTTATTCGTCGCAAGCGGTGTTGAGGATTTCCGAGCAGCCGTGCCCAAAAATTCGCACAGCGAGTCGGATCAAATAGCATTTGAGAGTACCCCCATTTTGAACAAGAGCCACCCTCCAACGGAGTAGCAGGTGTTTTTTTTACGACGACTGTTCCATCAACCCGCGTAATAAGCATGATGGAGTTTCCAAGGTTTCCTTTGCATCCTTCCCTTTCGGCCCATGCTTGGCCGCTTTCGCTGGCCGCGCCTCGCTCGCAAAGTGTCGATATGGCCTTTTGGCTCAAGTTCTGGACCACGCGCACAGACCAGAAGATATTGGCAGCGCTGCTACTTTCTCACCGAGGCAGTAGAGATGGCGCCGATGATGAAGTCCACTGTCATGACCAAGAGTGCCCTCATGGCGGCGCTCGCGGAGGCCTGCGAGGTGAAGAGGGGCGTGATCGGCACGGCTTTGAGCACTCTCGCGAGCATTGCAACGACAGAGGCGAAGAAGAACGGCAAGTTCGTCATTCCGGGCGTTGTGATGATCAAGACCCGCCAGAAGAAGGCCACCAAGGCTGGGAAGCGCGAGATCTTCGGCAAGGTCGTCATGGTGAAGGCGAAACCGGCCAAGACCATCGTCAAGGCCTTCCCCGCGAAGGCCCTCAAGGATGAGTTCTGAGGGCCTTCCAGTCTGAGGCGAGCTCGTTGAAGAAGCTCAGTGTATGCTCCCCCAGGTGCTCGTCCATCCCTCCCCTCGAGGAATCTTCGTGTCATTTTGTCCAGGTTGGCTGGAGGGTGCGTGGTCATGCATGGCCTTCCAGTCCCAGGACGCTCGGCGAGGGCGACCTCATGTACTTCACACCCGTCTCGCAGTGGAAAAATCAATGTCGACATTGCTTTCTAAGGCCCTTACATCCTTATCGTGCGTCCTTATGACCCAGGTTGATTGTACGCGGTGCTGCATGGCGAGAGACGTCTTGAAAACGAGCCGTCCTACATCGTCCATGCAGTTGCTTGACTATTGTAGGGCGAATTGTTCGCGGCTTTACGGCGAGAGCACATGCTAGAAACACATCGCCATCCTTCCGTGTAGCGGTTGGACAAAGTTACGACGAATGCGCGTTGCATTAATGTGATCAAATCGGTTCCGCCTCCATGCGCATACTTGTCAAAACTGTCAGCATCGACGATCAGAAGTGGTGAGCAACGGTGGCGAGGTGTCAGGCCAGACGTTGGGCCCGCCCTGCAGGCGCGCCTGGTGGTGCGCCGAGCAGGACGTTTCGGTGAGGGAACGGATGGAGGAG